CTGTCATAACAAATGGATGGAGAAATGAAGGAGTTAAGAACATAAATCAAAACAAAAGATGGAAAAAGATACCAAGCTATTGAAGAGTCATAACAGAGGGATATAAGGGACTGTGTGATACAAACACCGAACAAACAAACCAAAGAGACAGTGAATTCACTTAATACAGTGGGGCTAGGAAAGGCAGGGTAAGTGTTTGGATGAGCCATGTGGCTTCCAAATTGAAGATAGGAGCTCATCAGGCAAGCTGATTACATTCCAGATGTGAGAAGCCTGTATGTCTTCAGAATGTATGTTGTAAATGGGTGAATTAGAAAATAAATCAAACCATCAAGAAGGTAGAAAGGGAGGCATCCAGAAAGCGAAAACGGCACAGGTGTCTCGGTAATCTCTAGTTGATGAACAGCAATATTGCTTCTGGAAGTGTGCATTATGATTAAGCCAAGGGCAATTCTGAGATAATATATTCAGAGACAAATAACCAATAAAGATCAGGAAGGGTCAGTTTGCCTGAGATGACAGGAAACTTCAAACTACATGATGGAATAGTTGGAGGTCAACTGGCTAAGAACAGTAGGAAATTGCTCATAAACAGAGTATATGAAAACTCTAAAAGGGAAAACATTGGATAAAAATGAAGAAACTAGAGTTATGCATGCGAAAACAGCAAAATCTCCAGTGGACAGAAGGACGGCACAGCCTTATAAAAATGCGAAAGTCAGGAATAACACAACCATGATAACAGTTCGTATATTTATTCCTTTGTTGGTTAATTCATTCAACAAGTATTTACTGGGGGCATTATCTGTGCTGGTTATACTGAGGCTGTGGCAAGAAGATGTTAAACAACATGATATGGTTCCTGACCGCAGGGATGTTAGTGACTAGCAAGTGATGTTAGTGACTATTAAGTGTTCTGATGCAAATTGAGTGCTATAAGAATGTATACTAGGAAACTAAATGGTCTTGCCAGGAAGAGGTCAGGAGAGACTGATCTTTCAAGGATGAAGAGGCCTTGGGCTGTTGAAATTATTTCA